TGTACTTGATTGGTCAACAATACATCCCAGGCCAAGTCCCATTGGATCATTGTTTGGGCCCTGATTGAATCAGAGTGAATGTAAACAGCAATTGTTTCTGTTTTGGCCAGAAACTCTGAGAGTCTTTCCCTCCCAGATTGATTTTGTTTTTTGACTAGGTAAAGAGGCCATTCTTTGCCTCATTTCTTACCTAGCCTTAATCACTGAATGGGCCTTGTCTCAGTCAAACAGAGACCTGGAAAAGGCCTTAGCTTAAAAAGGCCAAAGTCTCCCACTGTATCTGGGGCCATCTCCAGTCATCTTGATCTATATCTTGCCATTGGACCCAGATGATTCCAGAGGAGAAAGTGAGGCTGGTGATTTTGCACAGCCCTCCCTCACTTATATCTAATTCATTTGCATGTCATGGCATCACCTTCCTGATGTCATGGTCCTCTTTGAGAACAACCTCCAAGTTAAGCACTTAACCCACTGTAAGCTTTCCTGTCTCTATGCCTTCCTCATATAATTGTACCTTTTACCTGGAATGTCCTTCAGTCTGGTTTCTTCCTCTACAAATCTTATTCCCACCTCAAAGCCCAGCTATAATATCACATCTGTGAGTGTGATCTCTACCTTCTCTGAACTCCTTTTACACCTGGTTTGTCTGAAGTTCTTTATAATTAGGTCAGCCAAAGCACCATAACAATCACCAGGCTGGCCAACTGAATAAAACTGAATCACATTGCTTTTAAATTTCTTCTCTATATAACTTGAGGCAAGACAGCAGTTCTATGAGCCTCAGGCTTCTCATTTGTAAAATAAACATAATAATAAGTATTCTTGTGACAATTAAATGAGAAAATGTGGGATCAAATATTTAATGCCAAAAAGCACATTAGAGGTTATTTAGTTCCTGAGCATGGATCAACTCTTTAGTATCTCTGATCTACTTTCATTTCAAAGATGAAGCCCAGAGAGGTTAGAGATGAGATGACTTGTTCAAGGTCATGAGTAGTAGGTAGCAGAACCAGAATTTGAAATGAGGTCCTCCAGTGCTGGAATCAATGTTCTTTCCAATGTACCAACTATTTTTGATAAAGGAAATTAAGTGTTTTGGAAGCAGAAACTATGTATGTAAATATATACACACACATACATACACACATACATATATGTGTATATATCTACTATACTTATTTTGTACATATATTTCTTCTTCTACTAGATTGTAAGCTTTTTGAAGACAATAACCAAATCTTTGAATCTGCTGAACCAAGCATAGTGCTCTGCATATAGTAGGTACTTAATGAAGGAACAATAATACTAATAGCTAGCTTTTTGTAGCTAAAATATTTTATTTCATTTTGTTTTTAATAGTATTTCATTTTCCCCCCAATTACATGTCAGGACAATTTTTGGCATTCATTTTTATAAGATTTTGAGCTCCAAATTTTTCTCCCTCCTTCTCCCTTATCCTCTTCCTAAAAAAGTAGGCAATTTGATATAGGTTATGCATGTGAATAGCTAACATTTTTATAGCACTTTAAGGTTTGCAAAGGGCTTTACAAATATTAACTGATTTTATTGTTAAAAACAATTCTGAGAGGTAGGTGCCATTGTTATCCCCTTTACACAGATAAGGAAACTGAGGCAGCCAAAGACTAAGTGACTTGTTCAAGGTCATGAGTCTGAGGCAGGATCTGAATGCAAGTCTTTCTTGCTCCAGGTTAAACACTATCTACTTTACTGCCTACCAGGAATGAGAATGGTGTTAGACTGATAGAGTGGAAAAAAGCAATTACAGTCACCAATGCATTGTAACAGTCACTGGACTGGCCACCAGAATGGAATTGAATTCAATTGCCTTCAAAACCCCATTCTTCCCTCTACTAGCTTCATAACTTAAAGCAAGACACTTCAGATCTAGGGGTTAACACAGGAAACCTAGGTTTGAATTCTTTCTCTGCAAGCTTTCTAATTGTATGACTTTGGATATGTCACTTAACTTTCCTTTACCTCTATTTACTAATCTGTAAAATGGGTGGCCTCTACTAGATGGTCTCTGAGGTCTTTTCTAGCTCTACCTCAGGGCTTCTTAACCTTTGTTTCCCCATGTCAGTCAACAAGCATTCATTAACTTATTATTATGTGCCAAGCACTAGGAACAAAAATACAGGTAGAAAAACAGTCTCTGACATCAAGGAGCTTACATTCTAGTGGGGGAAGACAACATTTAAAAAGGAAGCTGAAAAGAATGAGGGGGTATATAATACAAAGATAATCAGCACTGAGGCATCATATAGAGAATCAGGGTGCCCTCATTTAATGGTAGTTCTAGGGTGAGCCTTCCAATCAGGGGAAAGGGATGAGGAGAAAGGGTATTTTTGGCTAAAAAAGGCCTGAGGCAAACACCAGGGATCTGGTTTCCTGAAATTTGTGGGAAAGTTCAAGGACCCTTTTTTAAGGGTCCCATTGCCACATCAGCCCCATCACTTCCATTTTGTGAATCCCAAGGCTGGAATGAACTTCCAGGATGAAGAGGTTTCTGAGTTATGGCAGAGAAAATTCAAGTGCAGCCTGGAGAAGAATGAAGACTTGATTGGCCTGTGTGACTTCCTTAAATGGCGGTTTAGGGAGTAGCTCTGTGTGTTTCATAGATTCCTTTAGCAGTCTGGTGAAGCATATGGATCCCTTCTTTGAATCATATTTTTAATGCATAAAATAAAACACATAGGATTATAAAGGAAACCACATTATACTGAATTACATTGAAATAGAGTTAATCAAATATTTAGCAATATTTTCCTATAAAGAAAGGAAGGAATGTTTTACATAGGATACCCTTGTACATAGGCTCTTGTTTTAGTGTTGAATTCTATTTGACCAGGTATATTGTCTTGCATGTTTCTAGATTGAATATAAATTAATTTCAAAAAACATTTCTGAGATTTCAGCATCCTCTTCAATTACGGTTTTATCTTTGTGAGCACTGGCACCCATCCTAAGTTGTTTTCATTGTAAAATGTAGATGTCCTCTCCTTCCCCCTGGGGAGACCAAAACTCCCAATGGCTGCTTTTATTTATTTGGCCTCCAGCCCCACTGTCTCAGCAAAGAAAAAAGCACCTTTATGGACCTAGCTAATAGAAAGGTTGAGCCTATCACAGGTTAAATGCAGAAGCACTATATTGTGTTGTGATGGTAATTTGTTCTCATTCTGCAAGCCTTTCTGAACATAGCGTCCTCCTCAGAATTCCTCCCCGAAGCATTCTGACCAATGCTGGATTCCCAAATGACTGGTACCCAAGAGATGAGAGGATCAGCATCTGACATTTCTAAGCATGAGAACTGGTTCCTTGGAATGCATTCCCGCCGCTAGGGGGCTCCCCTTTGAAACAGAAGAGGCAAGCTTTTATTAATTTTGGGGGACGGGCGTAGGAACAGTGTCTAGGACCTCAAATCTTCTCGGTTCAGTAGCGAAACGGTATAAAGTTGTGTATGAATGAGTATGAGGATGTTAGTGCCTCCGCGTGAGGATGTGACAGCGTGAGTGTGAACGTCATAGAGTGTGAGACAGTCTTGAGTGTGTATGTGTGTGTGTGTGTGAGTGAGTGTGCGTGAGTGAGTGTGTGTGATTCAGTGTCTGAGAGCTGATGTGTGGCTCAGATGTTCGCACAGGAAACTGATCCTAATTCATTAATGATCGCCCAGCTTCCCCATTTAGCCTTATCCAGACTCACCAAAAAACACATAACAGTATAGCGATGGGTGTGTTGGTTGGGACGTGCTTGTGTCCCTGGAGGGTTTGTTTGTGTGTCTGTCCTGGGAACGTGTCTTCGTGAGAGGGCTGAGTGTCTTTTCTGAATATGTTAGAATCAAGTGTGTGCGTGTCCCTGTTCTGCCTGTCCTGTTTCCTCTTATGTCAAATGGATTCGTATGTGTGTTTGTTGGAGCATTAGTATTGTGTGTAACCTTCTTAGGATGTGCGATAGTTGAGGAGGTGTGTAGGTGAGTAGGCGTATATCCTGCTTGGGTGTGTATTTGTCTATATTCTTGTCGGAGTGTGTATGTGTGTGGGTGTCTGTGCTGGGCTTGTGCTTCGTTGAAGGTTGTGTGTGTGTGTGTGTGTGTGTGTGTGTGTGTGTGTGTGTGTGTATGCTTGCGTGATGTTCAGCTCCCTGGCTTGCGGGGCGAGGGCGGGGGTGCGGGGGAGAGGATGGAACCTCCTTGCGGGGCCGGGGTGGCTGTCCCATCCCGGGAGGGCAGGCTGGGTTTGTGGGCTGGTTCTACGTGTGCGTGCAGAGCCTCGGGCCCCTTCCCTCCGCCCTGCCCGGCCCAGCCCCGCCCATGGGTCCTGGGGAGCAAGGGGTGGGGAAGGGCTCCCCGCGGAGCGCACCGGCCAAGCAGGGATTCCCGCTGGGGCGCACTGAGGAGCTCCAAGGCACCGACGGACGCTTCTGGGTGGGAGCTGGAGAGTGAAGGGGAGCAGAGCTGCTCGTGGTTCCCCAGAGAAGTCCAGGGTTCATGGGAGAAGGGGCCCCGGTCCCTGTTGGCGGGGCGCGGGCTCCAGGGACCCGGGCCGCTGACGTCAGGCGGCCCCTTTAAATAGAGCCAGCAGCGCGTTCAGCTCGGCATTTCCCGGGGAGCCAGTGAGCCGGCGCCGCCGCAGCCGGTGGCCGCCAGCAGCTGCCGCCAGCGCCGGGATTTTACGCCCCTACCCGACCCGGGATTACCCGTTTGCGCTTCTCTGGCCCTTGGGCGCCTCAGGCACTGAAGGAGATGAAGGCTTAAGACTCTAGACTGGGGGCGGGTCCTGGGCAACGCGGGACAGGGATGCCTGAGCCGGGACACTCTGGGAGCCTCTCCAACTACCCGTAGCCTCTTCTCTTACGACTAGGAGATGCGGGAAGAGCCGCCGCCTGGTCTCAGAGCTGCGGCCGCCGCCGGGAGTCCCGGGCAGCCGGGCATGGTGGGCGCGCAGGCTGGCATCGCCCCGCGAAGACGGCGGCCCCGACGCCCAGCCCGCAACTGTTGCTCCCCAGTTGGGGTCGCGCCCCCCATGCCCCAGCAGGTCCGGAGCACTCCCGCCGGCACCCCCCAGGAAACCATGCCCCCTGCTCCGGGCCCATGGAGACATGGCCTGTAGAGTCCTCGGCTGGGCAGTGCCACCTCCCCCCCGGCTGACGCGCAGGTTCCTCTTCATCTTCACGCTCTCTCTGTCCTGCACTTACCTGTGTTACAGCCTTCTCTTCTGCTGCGACAGCCTCATGCAAAGCCGTGGCCTCGGGGAGCACCGCTGCCTCCTCATTCGGAACGTGGGCGGCAAGAAACTTCTCCAGAAGTCCCCTTATTGCAGCCTAGAGGGGCCGGCGCCCAGCGCTGCCTCCCCTGGAGCCCCCGCCCTCAGTTCCGCGCCCGCACCCGCTCCTCGCCTGGCCACCACCAACCATTCCAGCACCCCGAAGCTGGGCACGAAGAGGCTCCCTCAGGCCATCATCGTGGGTGTGAAGAAGGGGGGCACCCGAGCGGTACTGGAGTTTATCCGAGTACACCCCGACGTACGGGCTGTGGGCACTGAGCCCCACTTCTTTGATCGGAACTACGACCGGGGTCTAGACTGGTACAGGTAAGTAGAGCTTTATCCGTTTCCTTAGGGTTTTGTAGTGGTGAGACTGGCTCGGCAGGAGAGAGCTCTGCAGCCGACAGCCCTCGGGCCCCAGTCAGCTACTGTCTCGGTCCCCGAGTGTCTTGTGTCCCCCATTTCTCCTCCACTGAGAGGGAACCGCCCTCCTCGGTTGTGTGCGTTCTGGAGAGTCGAGAATACTTGTTAGTCTCTGCTCCCATCTGGTCGGAGTATTTTCATCTGCGCCCCGCCAGTGGCAGACAGGATTGAGTGGGCCCGATTGAGGAGAAAGGGAAGAAAGTGGCAGCCGGGTGTTGGATCGCAAGAGGCACAGACGTGGGTTCTTTGCCGCCTCTGCAGTAAGTAAAGCAGCCAGGATGGGGAACTCTGCAGGACGTCAAGGGTTAATGGTATTAGCCATGGACTGAGATTCCAGGGCTTAGTGGCTTTCACATTGAGTGTAGGCTACGTGGTATCCTTCGCCCCCATCTCCCACCCCACTCCGCGCCCTCAGGCCCCTTTCTCTGTGTTTCTAGACATCCTGAGAGGTTTGGGAGTTTATTTCCATCCCCATCAACCTTCCTCACCCGGTTCCCTGGGGCTGGATGTCACTCCTCCCAGAAGATAATGCTCTACTTTTAATTATGGTAGCAGCCCTCCCTGGTGATGCTGAAGAAATTCGTGGGGTAGCTGGGGATCCTGACGGGCTTTGAGCACAGGAGATTGTTTTGCTGAACTCCTGGTGGTGGGTCTACAAAAGGACCCTCTGGAGCCAGCGTCTTGGAGAAGGGTCTCTGGGGGGAGCTCATCAGGATGATCTGGAAACTACACTATTAAAATGTAAGAGAACCCTGTACCCGTAGGAGCTCAGAGTAATGCTGCTGAGGGGTTGCTGACAGATTCCTGGGACTAAGGTGTTTGTGTGTGGGGGTGGGGTTGGGGGGAGGTTTGAGGCTTCCTTAGACTTGGGTTTTAGGTTGAAATTGAACAGGCTCTCTGGATTCAAGGGGTAGGTAGCTCTCCCAGACTGTATCAGCAGAAGCTGGGATCTTTAAGGATTGGGGTTTCCTGGGGCTGGCCCAAGGGAAATAGGTAACTCCAGACTGGCACCAATCCTTTTCATACAGTACACACCCCAAGAAACAGGACCAGTTTTTTTTTCATAAAATCCCAGCTATATTTCCATATCCCTACCTCCACCAGAAACAGACAAGCCAAAATGAAAACTGAACTAGTAGCCTATGAACTCCATTTTGAAGTCAGTCAATGCCCAATGGGCCCTCAGCCCTGGAGGTCAGTGAGTGAGATCAGGAATAGAATTGAAGGTGAGAATTCTAGAGTTGGTGATGGCCTCAGAGGCCATTTACTTCAACACATTTTTTTTTTTTTGAGTAGGAATCTCCTTTATCATATCCTTGATCCATGTTTTGCTGGAAGACGTCCAATAATGGAGAATTCACTACCTGTTTTTCTCTTCCATTCTACTTTTGGACAGCTCCAATTGTTAGGAAGTTTTTTTTTTTTCCTCTTATGTTTAGTTAGGCAGCAGCTCTCCAAGGTGGCCTTGACAGCCCTGCAGAGCCCCATCTGGTGTTCCCAGGAATTTGCCCACCTGCCTGAAAAATTAAGAGCCTTCCCTCAGCTTCCGTGATGGCAGTCACTGCCTTCCAGCCTCCTAAAGTCAAGGTCCAGGTTCCTGGAATCTCTTGGGGGTGATTTTTGGCTCTGTCCTTCAGAAACTTCAAGAATCAGGGGTTGGCCAACTTCCTTCCCCCATCTTCCTTCAGTCAGCCACTAAGCATATAGATTCCTCACTTTCTTTCCATTCTAAAGAGAAGTGTCGTAAGTCACTTCTCAGACTTATTTCCAAGGAAAATCCTGTGACTTCTAAGACATTTTTTGGGTTCCAAGCTTTATTTCATATTCCCGAATGCTTTGTTCTAGCAAAGGTTATCAGGCTAATATTTGAATCGGCCTATCTCATGAGGCTGGAATTCTAACCATTAAAATCACCCCTAAGGCATCTTCTGGAGATATGTGGATTGTATCTGGGTTGAGGCATTATTTTTGCTAGAAGAAGTAACATGTTAGATAATAGCAGGTAGAAGTTTATATGTATTGCTCATTATGGGAAGAGGAAAGGGCCCACGATTGGTAGTAGATTGATGTAGAAGTCTGTATCGTAGATAAATGGTTTACCCAGCTGTGGTAGTGGTGCATAGTCTTTGAGGTATAATAGAAAGAATGTGGGCTGGATGACAAGAGACATGAGTTTTAGTCCTATCCTAATATTAACTAGATTTATGTCCTTAGGCATAAACTTCATTTCTCTAGAACTCATGACATAGAATAACATAGTAGGCAGTTAACAATTATTTGTTGAAAAACATTAAATAGAATCTAAGTTCCATGAGGGCAGAGATTAGTTTGTTTTTGCTTTCGAATCCTCTGCAACTAGCACAACGATAATTGTTTGATGATCAATTAGATTTAATAGATTGAATAAAATATTAGAACTGACAGGAGACTGAATGACCACTTAGTCCAATTGTTTTATTTCACAGATGTGGAATGTGAGCTGCAGAGATCTTGAGTGACTTATCCAAGGGTATATAGCCACTTAGACGTAGAACCAGAATTAGAATCTGGTGCCCTCTTTCCCCATGTATTGACCTTTAGATTAGCCTCACTCAGTTTCTTCATCTGCTGAAAGAGGAATTTGGGCCAGATGGTCTTTTCAGTCTCTAACAGTTATTCCATGACTCAATAAGGACATTGGAAATTGGAGTGAGGGAGTTTGTTAGGGTTGGCTTTGCCAAAAACCAGCTTTGCCAACTTTGATATTTAGCTGTACCCTGGTTCAACAAATCAGTGTCACCAGACTCTTCTCTGTCCTCTGAAGGAAAAAAAAACATATTTCTGCCTGGGGGTAGGTAAAGTAAGAAAGTTGAGAAGGGATTTCTACACAAATTGGGAAATATTTGGACCAGATGCCCGCTAGGATCCATTGGAATTCTGAGATTAATGTGAAGTAGGGAGCAAAGTGGTACAACTCCCCTTGTCCCCCCAAGACATCCCTTAACACATTTCCAAACCAGAGTATGGAGAATGAGGGTGGTCATGAGACTAGAGTAAGGTTTTGGGATTAGTGGAAATCCCATTCAGAGGTCAAAATTGATAAACCAAAGGGAAGGGACTGCCAGATATTAACCCTTAGCTAATCTGTTTCTTCTTAACTGTGTGGATGTACAACAATGCCCTAGGTTTGGGAGAAAGGCATTGGGTTGGTCACTAATGCTCCTTAGTATGTTGGCTATAACCCAGCTCCCTGGTGGAGGCTAGGGCTTCTTTGATGGGGACAACCAATAAATGGTTGTGAAACATACTGCAAGTGCCAAAATAACAATAATCAAGGATTCCAGGCTCTTTATTACCCTCTGCTCTTACCCCAAACATAGAGCCTCCTAGGAACCATACAATACCCATATACCAAGAGAGGAAGAAATGAGGCTTCTTTTTCACCTCCAGACCAGAAGCCCCTCTCCTTCCCTCCCTCCCTCCTTCCTTTTTCCTCCCTCCTTTCCTTTCCTTCCTTCTTTCCTTCCTCCTTCCTTCCTATCATTTGGAGCTGGCTCATTTTTATTTTTAACCTTGGCATGCATGAGTTTTAGCTTGCTAACTGTGAACCTTGGCTAAGGGGGCAGTGTAGTTTTTTTTTTCAAATTGCGTTTTGATTTTGCTAAAATCTCTATGGTGGTGGTGGTGGTTGCTATTTCTTTCCTGCCTCTTTTCTTCCTCTTTTGGGCACTAATTGCTCCCACCTACCAAATGACTCTCCATAGAAAGGATTGGGTGAACTCAGCTCCTACTAGTGAAACCTTTGTAGGAAGTGACACCACACATACCTTGATGATTGATTATGTCAGGTGGGCCAGACACGCTGGGATCAGGCATTCTGAAAAAAATTAGTAACAATAGGTCTGATACTGTTACCGACTTTCAGTTCATTCCATTTCAAACTTAAACTCCTCAAACTGTATATTGTAGTTGTGCCACATGCAATAATACCTAACATTTCTATGATTATTTACAATTTCCAAAATACTTTGAAATTAATTATCTCATTAATTCAACAACTCTAGAATAGGACTGCAAATTGGTGGCTCAACTAGGACTAGGTCCAGGTTTCATCTCTGACATTTACTGCTTATGTGGCCCTAGGCAAACCACTTGGCTTGTCTAAGCTCCAGTTGCCTCATTTATGATATGGGAATACTCCCCACCCAAGGGGAGCTTATTGTGAGGAAAGGATTTTGTAAACCTTTAAAGAGATAGCCATATATCAACGTGATTAGTCTTATTACCTTCCAAACTACTGTACACTTACCCTTTGTATTTATTCTCTTTATCATTCTGTTTATGCATATATATTCTTTTATCTCCCCTGTTGGAATATAAGCTTCAGGAGAGTAAGGAATGTTTCATAATATGTACTATGAGGGCCTAGCACAGGCCTGGTGCTTAGTAGGTACTTAATAAGTAGCTGTTGATTAATTGGATAACTTTAGTCACCAGGGAGAAGTTGGGTAGGGAAATCTATGAAATGAGGGGGAAATTTTCACTTTCAGCACAATAGACAAACTCCTCTATTCTCTGAATAATCAGGAATGACACCTGACATGCCTGAAATCTGGACATGAGGCTAGAATAAGGTTTAGGAATTAGTGAAAATCCTATTCAGAAGCCAAGATGATAAGCCAAGGGGAAGGGGCTTTGAGGTTGCAACCCTTAACCAATCTACTTCTACTTAATTGTGTGTATGTATGGTTATGAATAATGCCTGAGAATAAGCCATTTGCCCCAAAACTAAAAGAAGTGAGGATCCTTCATGACTCTTACCTTCCATAGATCTAGAACCTCAGATACCCTGAAGGGCAGAACGTTACTTTTTTTAATGCTGTGGGATGTGTTCTCCCTCCTTGAAATAAGGAGGAATGTTTTAG